TTCGACTTCGCGAAGACCCTGGCCTTGGCTCAGGACGGCGCTGGGGAGGTCCTGCTGAAAGCCATCGCACCCCGGGTGGCCCGGGAGAAGGGCTTGAGTGCGGAAGAGTGCAGTCCGAAGGCTCTTCTCAAGATGCTTGAGGAAGCTCGCTTCCTCCGGTCGTACACCGGCAGCGGCAACTTCTCACGCTGGGACGAGTTTCACTCCGCATGGCGGAGCCGCCGAGACGAGAGCGGGCTGCTGCTGCTCATGCAGTCTTACTGCCTGCGAGCTGGCATTTTGAAAGGGTCGTCTTCGGGTGTCGACTTCGCCTTCGGTGTCGCGGAAGCGGCGGCCGCCGCCTCTGCAACGGCCAAGGCGGAGAAGGAAGGCTCCAAGACCATGAAGGAAGCCAAGGCCGCGACCACTGCCTTGTACAACAGGTGCAAGAACAAGTTCCACGTGGTCTGTCTGCTTCTCATGGACTTGGACCTCATGACCGCCTTGAACAGCTGGCATGCAATCACTTTTCCTCTGTCCAGACAGTTGAACACTTTGCGTAAAGAAGTCAGGGGAAGGCAAGGCGCTTTGGCCATGTGGCGTTCGTTCGCCTTGGGAGACTGGATTTCCGTTGTCTCTGAAATGCACGACGCCATTTTCGATGCCGATCTTCATCGTCGCCTTGGCCTTCTAACGCATGAAGATTGCGCCGGCTCCATGTTCTACAACAAGTTGAGCGAGGAGCACCCCCTTGTCAGTCAACAGGACATGCTTTTCGGCCAGCTCTGCGACATGTTCTTCTGCGCAAGCTACCAGAAGTGCCTGACCAGCATGGCCTTCTTCGACTTCCCGCACAAGCTCGTCTTGCTGACCGGCAACGACACGTCGGCCATCCAAACAGTGTGCGTGGAACTCGAAGATCAGGCAAAGGCTTTTGAGACTGCTCAAGGCATTCGAACGAAGTGGTGCAAATCTGCCTGCCAGACCTCCCCCATGCAGCACCGGCTTGTGAAAGATGTGCTCCAGGACATTCGCCAGAACAATGGCAGCGCCACACCGATGCTGCGGACGGTCATGACGGATCTCTGGTCAAACTTAGCCTTTACCTTCAACGAAGAAGGATTCCGTGCGATGCGACAGCATGAACAAGGCCAGAACTTGAGTCACGCAATGCCGTCCATAGATGGCTGGGCGAAGCTAACAGGCGACAACATCCTGGGGTCCTTCGGCTACCAAGAGATCGAGCCGGATGATGCCGAGGTAGGGGATTTGGAGAATCAATGTTCGCCCCTGAAGCATTGAACGGAAAATCCAATTCAGTAAAGTCCTCCGTAATTTGAATCAAATAGCTTCTCCTCAGTCTTTTGTTTAATAACCCCCAAAAGGTCTCAGTCGGGACAGTGCCTTCGACTTTCTTCCACACTCGAAAGCTTTCGCCTTCGACGGAGGATCTGCGGACAATCCTGAATCGCAAAACATGGCCTTCGCTTTCGCCTTTGCGTGCCTCCGCCATCCCTGCAGAGTCAGCACTCATGGTGCGGTTCCACAAGGAGGGGCGGCTGCAGGACCTCGTCCACACCTGGCGGACCCGCTTCCTCCAGCGTGGGCTGGTTGTGAAGGACAGGAGATGCCCGGACTTGGTCTTCTTCAGCCTTGGTCCCTGGCCCACCTGTGCGGCGGCCCTTTGCATTTCCGTGCAGAAAGTCGAGGCTGCGGACAAGAGTGTGTGCTACACCTTGCCAAAGCCGTTGACACGGGGGCATCTGCACTGGAAGGTTGTGGAGAAGTTTGCCGACTGGCAGGTCCTGCAAACGACGATCGTGTCGCCTTTGCACGCAGGGATTCTGCAGAAAGGCAGCGGCAACAAAAAGAAACCTGCAGAGTTGCAGGTCCCACACCTTCCTGGGATGTGGCGCGAGCGTGCCAAGAATCCTGTCGCCTTGCTGAAGCATGCTGCTGCTCATGCCTACTGGGACATCAGCAGCTTCTACGTCAAGCTGCTCCTCCAGGACTAACCGGCTTGGCTAACAATACCTTTTTGAAATTTTTGTCACACTCTCTCATTGCTTCGTAAATTAATTAATGAAACTGTCGACAGGATGAGTTCGGCTTGGCAGAGGCGGAGACGGATTGGCGCGAAGACGACTTGGGCTTCGCCTTGGAGGCCGCAGTGGAAAAGGGCATGAACTGCAGCCCGGAAGAAGTTGCCAGCATTCTGGAGCGGAACATCCACTGGCGCTGTCCATCTGCGAATGAGGAGCTCGACGAGATTCTGGCTTCAGACATACTGGACGATGTCCTCGGGAAGGATGCTCAAAAGGACGTGGAGGCTGCGCAGCGGACACGTCAAAGCCAGGCTGTCGAAGCGGCGATGCTGACCAGAGCTGTGGCGAGGATTCGCAAGCGCATTCGTTCGACTTCGGGATCGGCTTCGAAATCGGCTGCGTCTTCGTCGTCTTCGACGAGGCGCAAAAAGGTCCGATTCGAGTCCAATGCTGCCTGGAGCGTCGAGGACTTGCAGCAATTGCTGCCGCCTTTTTACAGAGGCTACAAGGATCAGTTCAACAAGTGCTGGAGAGTGTTCCAGAGGCAGCACCGATGGAGCGCCTCCAGGTCTTGGGGTCCCAGCGGAGCAGATAGCAGGTGCTGCTACAAGCTACTGCACATGAGCTGGAGACGCTACCTGCAACTGAATCCTGGCGAGACTTGCCCGTTTGAGTTTCCGCCCGAGGTCTAGCGGGAGTCGCGACTTCGCCTTCGACTCAGGCCTTCGGGGCTTCGAATCATCGCGTCTTAGTCTTCGCCTTCGAATCTGAAGGCTTGGAGGCTTCGACTCGCGTCTTAGTCTTCGCCTTGAACTGAAGGCTTCGGGGCTTCGACTCGCGTCTTACTCTTTGCCTTCGACCGATGGCTAGAGAGATTCGAGTCTTCGCCTTCAACAGACGCTTCAACTTCGACCAACTTCCTGGGTTGGTTTTGCGATGGCTCGAAGGCTGGTAAGAAGGCTGCAGCGGCAGGCGGAACCAAAACAATCGGCACTTGCACTGGGCAAACAGTCAAAGTCAAGTCCTCATCTCAGACGATCACATGATGGACCACATCGTCGTCTCATGGCCTTCGCATGGCTTCGACGACGTTCATACGGTCCATGACGTTTCGGGGTCCTATGACGCCCTCGACTCGACCACCAGAATGCCCTGGCCAACGGCGATTCGGAGACGAGGCTGCCGAGCGACATGAATCCACTCCAATGACGAACAAGTTCGAACTGTCGCGGTGGCCTTGGATATCCTCGCCTTGGTGACACCAGCACTTGCCTCCTTCTGAGATGGGGGACAAAAAAAAAACCTTAACTAATCAGCGAAAAACCACCAGCCAAAATTATTTCTTCTCCCGACAGCTACACTCAAACCCATCAGCCTTTTAAATCGTCCTGCGACTTGCTGCCGCTGTGCGCAGGAGAGCTCTTGGCCACCGACTCTCAGGGTCCCAAGATTGATTGCTCTTGGGACCCTGGGATAAACTTTTCTTCTCGGCCTTGTCAGGGCTTCGCGCACTCGGCTGCCCATTGTTATTGACATGCCTGGTCTGAGAGAACCAAGACAGACACTGACTTCTGCTAGATTTGTTCAGAACTCCCCTCCGTCCGTCCTTGGACTGCATGCAGTCCAGCACAGTACAACCACTTTTGCTAAGATCCTGTAGTCAAGCCAAGGATCCCTATTTTAATGACATTTACTCAATAGGCTTTCAGATCAGAGTTTGGTCTTTTAAAACTTCAGGGGTCAGACTCTCAGGAGTACCTTTTTCAGGTATTTCCTAATTCGTTGTGGTGAAGACGATCAGAATCAGGGATTCGTCCCCCCCCGACTCAAGGCCGATCCTGTCCTCACGTACTTCAGAACGACCACGACAAGGCACATCAGGCATCGTTTGGGCGTGACTGTTGGAAGTGTAATTTACGACCCTCAACCCTAAAGACTGAAACCTCGATTGACTCAGGGTTGTTTTAATTGTTGACAAACTAGGGCTGTTATTTGGGTTGAGCTATACAAAATTTTAGGATTGCAAAGCAATAAACAGTCGATACTGTATTCGTTCATGTCTCTTTTCAATTCCCTCACTTGCCTCTACCTTTACGTCTACTGTAGCACTCTTGGGTGTCAACGCCTATTCTACTCGTCAGTCGTGCCAAAAGCCCCTTGCGCCTCCCGCTGCTGCACAGCAAGGTCTTCGAGTGTCCATTGATGGGGAAAGGAAGGAAAGAGTTTATTATACAATGCAACTTAACTTGGAGCTCAGGCGACAATTAGTTTTCTTCCTGTCGGTCAGGTTTAGATTGTGTTATCCGTCAAGGCCGGAAGATTCTGCTTTGTTTTGATTACTTTGATTAATTAACGAAGCCTCTGATCCTAAGACATCAATATTTTATTTAAACTTGAACTTGCCCGAACCAAAGGGAACCCCAGACCGTCAACAAGTCAGATGCCCATTCCCTCGACTTCAAACCCTGATTAGACTTCAGCTGTTAAGCCCGAAAACCCCACATGTCCGAGCAACACCGAGGGCGTAGAGCACCTTCCACACTAAACACCCCAAACTTTTTCAGGAACCGTAAACCGGACAGCCTGAATTTAACATTCAAATCCAAACGATTCGCCCGATTCGGACTGCTTGACCACGTCGTCCTGCTGCTGATTCTGTCATCATGTAAGGATTATACACTTCTGGTTCCGGGGCGGAGCGGGCAGGGAATCTACAGCGTTACGGGTTTCTATCAGTGACAGCATTCCGACTACACACATTCGCAGGTTGCCAAGCCCTGGTGACAACTGGGACTTCGCCTTCGCAAGGTCCACCCAGCCTCGCTTGTATCGCGACCCTTCTCTTGTGCAAAGTCAGTGACACTCAAGACTCATGCCGTTCAGAGTGTGCATGCTCCAACGAAAAAGCAGCTTTTTCGGCTTCGATTCGCCTTCGAGCAAGCTCTCTCCCTCCATCTTCTCTCGCCTTCTTTCGCAATGGCGCCCAAGGCAGCTGGTAAGAAGACCGCGGCGGCGGCGGATGGGGCCAGCAAGAAACAGCGCCTTGCCGAGAAGAAAAGTGAGGCTGTGAGGAGGGAACAAAAACAGGTGTTGTCCAGCGACAAGGCTAACCAGGCCATCATGATGGAACAGATCGTGGAGTGGTGCGAGTCGCACCCAAGGGGATTCGAACACATCCACCGCTCGATCATGCTCGGTTCCTATGACGCCTTGGACCAGAAGAATGCCCTGACGGACGCCGATGCGGACACAAGGTTGCCGAGCTACATGAACAAGTTCCGACTCCTGACCGTCCCGGTGGCCTTGGAAATCCTCGCCTTGGTGACGCCAGCAGTTGCCTCCTTCATAGAGAAGATGCTGAAGAAGGGGCAGAAGATTTCCAAGTTCGACGTCACGGAGGTCGTCGCCTTCGTCCTCCATGTGGATCTGCGCAGCGCCTTGCCCAGCAAGCAGAAGAGCCAGCTGCTCCAGTGGTGCAAGACCAGAAGCGAGGAGTCGGACAGTCCTCTCAAGTCTTGGTCTTCGTCTTCGGAGCCGGTATGCGAGACCTGGGAGGACGGGGATGTTCTGGTCTAAATAGGTACTTAAAATACCTATATATCAGCCTTACATTAATTAATTATGTACTGGATTGTTTTTTTTGGCCGGCCTGAAGCTTCTTGCAGGACTTCGTCGCCCATCCGCTCTACAAGTACTGGAACTTTGAGCATGCCGCCGATGACGGGGACCAGTCGACGTTCGGGGTCGTGCGGTACCTGAAGACGGACATTCGCCTTCGGCTTCCGAAGGAGATCCGCGGGTTCCCGATGAAGGGCCCCCACCTCTTCTTCACGGCCTTCGTGAAGGGCTGCATCAGCATCCCCATGACCCACGTCATGGAGCACAATGGGGCCGAGGCGGTGCCTGAGAGGCCCCTCTTCTTCGAGGCGGTTCCATCAGGCTCGTCTTCGACTTCGCCTTCGAAGCCCAAGGAGGCCGAGCAGCAGCCCCCGCCGGCTACGCCGAAGAGGAAGGCTCGCTCCGACCCGAAGACTCCCGGGTCCGGGCGCTCGGGCAAGGACCCGGTGAGCCCGCCGCCTTCGTCCGGCAAGCGCAAGCGCTGAGCCGGTCGTCTTCGTGGTCCTGGTCTTCGCAAAGACAATGGCCTTCGTCTTGGATTCGCTCATGTCCTAATTCTCACCAATACTCACTGCCACGAGTCCGAGTATAATCATTATTACTTTATTAGTACCTAGTAGTACGACTAGCCGTACTAGTACTTGTAGTAGTACTGTCGTAGTAGTAGTACTAGTCCTAGTAGTAGTAGTAGTACTAGTAGTAGTACTAGTCCTAGTAGTAGTAGTAGTAGTAGTAGTAGTAGTAGTAGTAGTAGTAGTAGTAGTAGTAGTAGTAGTACTAGTAGCAGTAGTAGTACTAGTAGTAGTAGTCCTAGTAGTACTAGTGGTAGTACTAGTAGTAGTACTAGTAGTAGTAGTAGTAGTAGTAGTAGTAGTAGTAGTAGTAGTAGTAGTAGTAGTACTAGTAGTCGTTGTAGTATTAGCACTCGTACGACTAGTACTAGTAGTCCTAAAGGTAGTAGTAGTTGTAGTAGTAGTAGTAGTACTACTAGTAGTAGTAGTGGTAGTGGTAGTAGTAGTAGTAGTAGTAGTACTACTACTACTAGACTAGTGGTGATGTACTACTGCAACACGTCGTATTCGACAAAGGCCGTTGTTTTTGCAGTGACTCTCTAGCCTGATGAGAGATTGTCTGCTGGGGCCAGCCCGGACACTGAAGTCCCCATGTCATTCGCTGTGGCCTTGGTCGTGTACTGTACACATACTCATGTTAGTCAGTAGTAGGATGCAAATCGTCCTTCGACTAAAGGCCTTGCCATCATCGAACATGGGGATGCAAGTGCATCGCTGGCGGTAGCCTAACTCACAGCTTCAGATTTTGATGAGCTCGGATGGCATGTCGCCGCTGGGGCCAGCCCGGTCACTGAATTCTCCATGTCATTCGCAGTGGCCTTGGTCGTGTACTGTATACATCCTCATCTTAGTAGTAGGGTGCAAATCGTCCTTCCACTAAAGGCCTTGCCATCATCGAACATGGGGATGCAAGTGCATCGCTGGCGGTAGCCTCACTCACAACTTCAGATTTTCATGAGCTCGGATGGCATGTCGCCGCTGGGGCCAGCCCGGACACTGAATTCTCCATGTCATTCGCTGTGGCCTTGGTCGTATACTGTTTACATACTCATGTTAGTAGTAGGATGCAAATCGTCCTTCGACTAAAGGTCTTGCCATCATCGAACATGGGGATGCAAGTGCATCGCTGGCGGTAGCCTAACTCACAGCTTCAGATTTTGATGAGCTCGGATGGCATGTCGCCGCTGGGGCCAGCCCGGACACTGAATTCTCCATGTCATTCGCTGTGGCCTTGGTCGTGTACTGTACACATACTCATGTATACCTAACATATAGTCGTAGGATGCAAATCGTCCTTCCACTAAAGGCCTTGCCATCATTATCGAACATGGGGATCAAGTGCATCGCTGGCGGTAGGCTGACTGTGAAAATCTCATTCACAGCTTCAGATTTTCATGATCTCGGATGGCATGTCGCCGCTGGGGCCAGCCCGGACACTGAATTCTCCATGTCATTCGCTGTGGCCTTGGTCGTGTGATGTACACATACATACTCATGTTTTCATAACATGTAGTAGTAGGATGCAAATCGTCGTTCCACTGAAGGCCTTGCCATTGTCGAACATGGGGATGCAAGTGCATGGCTGGCGGTAGGCTGACTGTGAAAATCTCTCTGAAGCCGCCTCAAGGCATGAAAAAATACTGCTGTCTCGGCTGACTGTGCGGCAAATTTGGTTGATCGCTCAAGCCTGTTGTTTCTCATTGTTGCTGCTTGCCAGGCTATGCCGAAACCGGGACTTCTCAGCCCGCAACTCAATCACAGTTTCGCTCATGTCGGAAGGATGTTAACTGCAGGAAGTTGCCTCGCCGATTCTTTTCTTGTTCAGACAACCGTGTCATGACAGCTGCCCAGGTTGATGGATCTCCCGGCGTCTTGGTCTCTCTCCTGGCGACGACTTCGGCTTCGCCTTCGATTCGGTTTAATTGAATTCTATTTGTGGAATCCACTAAGAATGATTCATACTTGTCGAGCAAACGTCTATGTGAACCTTTACTAGATATGTTCTACCAATTGGAAGGATAGTTTCCGAATATCCTGACTGCCAATCAAAATGAAACACCCTGCCTGCTCCCCCTGCTGTGTCCATGTCATTTCATGTCCAAAAGGCTGCGGTGGTAATTTAAAGATACACCCAGGTTTTGCAGTGGTGTTTTTGATTTCTTGATTCCTGCTAATACAATTTATTTTTGTTTCTCTGTTGGAGCCATAGAAAAGCTTCCTTTGAAAAAGTAGATGCATTTGATTGATTACTACAAACAAAGTTCTCCAGAATCACGTTGTCCCCCCAGCCCCCCTGCTGCTTCACAATCCTCACATTACCCACAGCTGTTGCCGAAGACACAGAATCCCACGAACCCACTACGAACCCCCGGACCTTCTACGAAGTTCGCGGCAGCCGTTTGCTTAAAACGAAGTTCGCGTAAGGGCTGTCCTTCCCCCGCAGGCCGTTACCCCTCACCGTTTTGCCCTTAATATGTCTCGTCTTGTCTTGGTATGACTCTGTAGATGTCAAGCCACAGTCCAGAGAGCGTTCAGCCGTCGACTGAGCAAGTCACCTTTCGTGGTGCCGACAGGCATTGACATCGGTGGGATGGACATTGCTTTCCCAGAAGGTTCCGAGTCCGAAGGCTTGCATCCCGTCGATTACTGCTTGGTCTGGGGTTGTGACAGCTTGGACGTGTTGCATGTTTGTTTCTTCTTTTGTGGAGCTGGTCAGAGGTGCACTTTGTTTCATGAGATTCTGCGATCTGTTGTTGCGTCAGGCATAAAGAAATACTCCGACCAGAGAGGTCCTGTGGTCTTCGAGGTGTCCCCGATTTTCGACCTGAATCCGGAGCCGCCTGAGGAGAGTTGTCCGGTCGTTGAGGGCAGACGGTGGTGGACATCCGGGGTTGGAGTCTCCAGAAAGAGTCTCGAAAGGAGTGGCGCAGCGTGCCATACCGAGAGTGGCTGCCCTGGAGCTTGCTCGGCTCCGAGGAATGCAATCACCTCCTGAGCCACTGAAGGTACAAGCAGACCGCGGACTACAAAGCCAGGCAGCTTGCAGCCTTCGCGATGCACTCCAATCGCCTGACTTCTAGAACCCCCGAGAGCAGCGGAGCCGCGCCCATACTTTGTCAATTTGTAGCACCGGCCCGGGCAGCGAAGTGTAGCGTGTATAGCAGGCGTGCTGAGAACTACGCCCAGTGCGCGCAGAAGGCCTGGGCCTGGGCGGCCATCTTTCGGAGTCGAAACTCTTCCATGCTCTTCAGACACGTCACATCCTTGCCCCACCCCCACCCGACTGCCGAAGGTCGTGGAGCACGCACTGCATCGCAGGGGGAAGCTTTTTGTGGACATTGATAACACAGTCTGGATCCTGGCTGTCTTCCTCTGTGTTCGCAGTAGCTACAGGCTGTATTGACATGTGCTCATGCCAGCAAACACACGAAGGGTCCAAAGAAGTCATCACAGAAGATAGGTTTGGGCAGGATGCAAGAAGAGCACTAGTGGTCGCCGAAAGCTCGCAACCCACCATCCCGATCGCCCATCAAGAGGTCAGCGACGCATGGAATCGAATTCGCAGAGAGCTGCTGGCATGGATTGGTTTTGGGGCAGATCCTAGCAGTCGTGAAGCGGCCAAGACTGAGGGAGCCTTGCAGCACTCCTGGACATGCCTTCGATTAGCAGGCCACGATCCCCAGCTGGCCGGGCGAGACGTTTGATTCTCGGGCGCACCTGCCGGAGGAGCCGAACTGCTCGAGGTTTTTGATCTTTGGCGTTCCGAGTTCATTGTTCTGACGGTGTTGGGCTAGACAGGCATGATGACCGAAACAGAGTCGCAAGACCACCCACATGTCGGCTTGTTGCCCCAGCGAGAAGTTCTCCCTGAAAGCAGTGGCTGTTCTCACAGCTGCATAGGAGTTGGCCAAAGATTTGCCACTGGCAGGCTTGTTGTTGATGTGTTTGTGCAAAAGCCGGCACCTGCCACTGTATATCCACTCTGCAGCGCAGGTGCCCAGAAGGCCTTAGCATCGCTCACGCGCGAGTGGGAGATTACCTACCTATCGGTCTCGGGCTCAGCTCAGGTCCGGGCAGTTTGCGAGATCCGACACGAGTTACTCCAGCCTGGCGAAATTGCTTTAAGGCCCGGGGCGCTCCGGGTGCTTTTGATGCCACTCTGCGATGGCTAGCAGCTGGGCAGGGTGTTCCAAAACCTTCCGAGAGCGGTTTTGCTACATCTGATATCACATGCTGCCGGCATATCATAAAACCATTCGACAATGAACCGGGGTTGTAAGGCTTGGCCTCTTGCCGCTTTGGGGGGTTGGGACGACCGCAAGCCTTTCGCCAAAGAGATAAGGCAGCCAACGGCTTCCCCAACCCAGGGCGCTTGCTTTTGGCCTTGGCCTCAGGGACTTTCGTGGGCTGCCGACTGCCGAAGCTTGATCTGAGCAACACCCGTGCGTATTCGGACTCAACGAAGCTCTATTTCCGGTTGTGGGCATGTCGGCCTGAGGTTGAGTCTGCCGTGGACAAGATCGCATGGCTGCAGGACATCGGCCAGAGTTCGTACCAGTTGCAGCCACAACACGGGTAGAACTCAAAGTTGGGTCGAGGACGCAAGCAGTTTGGATCCTCATCGTCGACCCGTGCTTTTGGCCTCTGGCTCAGCCGGATGTGCTCAGGACCTTCATGCACCAACGGGTACTTCGAACTTGATCCTCGAAAGAAGATCAAAGACGGGACAGCCAGGAAAGACAGGCCAGAGAGCAAGGAGAGCAAGCAATCGAAACCTCGGGAGAGAAATGAAGAGGATTTCATGGACCCTCAAGGCGTGAGGACCGAGATACATCAGCCGAATATGCATATAGTCAACAGGAGCCGGCGCTGTCGTGAAATCACAGAACCAATCCAAGGAAGGATGCACGGATGAACCGAATGTCAACTGATGCGTTGCCATGCTTCCCAGGTCGATGACCTGACGCGAGGACACGGACGCGGGGTAAGCCTGAAAAGCCTCGCTGGAGCAGAGTGAAGTTCATCTCATGCAATACTACAATACGGTGCAACATGATTACTGCACTCTACTACGTACATTGTGATTATAGTAATGTATTAAGCGTGCATATGTAAATCTACATTATGTACAATTATACACATAAATAAACATTTTCTACCCACAAAAATATGTCACCAGGACATCATCTTGCGCAAGCTGTCCCAGACGAGACGATGCGCTTGGCACTGCAAGCTCTACGATTGGATCACGAGGCGAAGCAGTTTGTGCTGACGTTGCTGATACCGATTGTGATTAGCACCTGTGGGCCTGTGTGGAGGTTTTTGATCCTCAGACAAGCGACTGGGCAAAACTCGCTGAGCGCTTGCTAGACCGAGCAGGACCCTTAGATGGAGAGCAAGCACTACTTGCCGTCAAGATCGGAAGCGTGTTAATGATTGCACGATGCAACCGATCGGCGTTTCAATCGTCTTCTTCCCCGGACAGCACTCTTGAATGCTTCTCATGTCCAATCACAAGAGCCCGCCGAAGCCCCTGTCTCCTTCAAACGTGATGGCTCTCTGGCTATGTCGCTCCCCTGTGCGGTTCTACTTGATAACTGTCGGAAGCCGAGCCTCATCATGACCCTAGGCTGCCGAGATGCGCGTGACTCGCAGCCACCCGGCAGCGCCGGTCGTCGTCTGCCGCGACTGAGACTCGCTGGAAAGATTGCGCAGCCTCATTGGGAGGGCTCCATGTGTCACAAAACCCTTCACTCAGAGAATCGTCGCGCAGTCAGCTTAACAGAGTCCATGGAGGAGTCACAGAAGCTAGCACAGGTAAGCTTTTGTTTTCGTTCTGCTCTAGCAGGTAGCGCCGGACACGGGGATAAATAGATTAAATAGTGGCTGTCTCACGGGAGTTTCTGGAGGGAAAGGTGTGACCAACAGGGGCCATATCAACATGGCTGCAACCACCAGAGCAACAAGGACAACGACGCCAGCAAGACCAGCAGTAGCAAGAAGGGACGACAAGATCTGTGACAACACTATGATTCCAGCAGGAGCAACGGTGACAGCAGCGGAAAGATCAGCTTCAGACACTAAAAGTAGCAGTGACCTTGACAGCGCACAGCACTTGATTACTCTAACTCCCTGCACCTCCCGGCCCCCTCTCCCGTAATTCATCAAGTTTGACTTGGCAGCTGGAACCTCAGCCCCAGCCCGCGACCCGCGACCCTTCCATCATCATTGAGTGGGACGCCGCCGCGCCGCCGCCGTGGCCGCCTCGCCTCGGGGTCGTGAGTCTTAGGGGGCTGCGATTGCCAAAGATCGGATCGCCGCGCCGCGGGGCCGCTTCGCCGCTCCAGGAGCCGAGAAGCCCCAGGCGGCCCCCTGCACTGCAGCATGGCACATGGCACACTCCCTTCGCGCGCTTGAGGCGAAGAGATGGAGTCTCCCAAAAGAAAGCCAGGCTGCCCCCTGCAGCCGGGAAGCTCAAGCTACGCCACGGCCACAGCTCTCTCGAAGACGACACGATGACTCTCTAAGGCTGGTCACTCTCAACATGGATGCCAAGAAGTGCGAAGTCAATGAGGACGCGCGGCGGCCCCAGCAGGAAGCTGAACAACCAGCGGAACCTGCCAGTCCCTGCGTCGTCTGAGGCTGGGCCGCCTAGAAAAAAGACTGAAGGAAATGGGTGCCAAGATGGTGTCCCGGTCTGCACTTGCACTTCTTCGTGGCCGGTCGAAGGGGCGCCTGCTCAGGTAGCTATTGTCTCAGTCATGGGCGCTTTCCGAACAGGAAAGCCAAATGCTCAGACAGTTTGGTCCACGTGTACTCGAGTCCTTCCGAGCTTTGGGTTCAGAATAAAGCCCATGCCGCCACAGGAGATAAACATACCGGTTTTGCCTTGCTGTCCCAACAAAGACGGCTAAGTCTCGGTTTTTTTTTGAAGACCAAAGACAGGGAGACTGCTCCGAGTGAGGTCCTTCCTGTTGGACCTCTTCCTCCGCTTCTTGAAGTGGGAGGCCGGGCCGGGGCCGGGGCTGAAGGACCGCTTCATTGGTCATCAAAGTCTGCTCTTGAGAAGCCGTCATGACGCTAGACGTCCTCGTTGTGAAGATGTTGAGACGGGGAAGTATAAGTATCAGAGCAACTCTGGATGTACTGTAGACTGTACACTGTAGATGATGTCGCCAGGCGGACCATCCCGAGGAGGCTGCTGCAGCGAGAAGCGTCCGGGCCCCGGCCCGACGCTTTCAGTTGACTGCAGCGCCCTCCGCGGCGCAGCGAATGTTCCTCCAACCGTGCAAGCTTCTAGACGACCTGAGTCAGTTTTCAAAACACTTCTGTACTGAGCGTTGTTTCAGCAAGCCTGACCTCAGAAACCTCGCCAGCCTCGCCACTAATTCCAAGGAGTCGCAGCCGGCGCGGGGTGGGAACGAGGATGGTCGAAGCAGAACTGATGTGCTTGCACTTGCGCACTGTTGGAAGATCTACTGCGAAGGATTTTCCACTGCCCGCATGGGTCAGGACCTTAGTGCTTTAATGTGCTGCCAGTCTGGCTATCGCATGCTGTGTGAAAGCTTGTAGAGAAGAGACCGTGTTTGTCGCAGTGATCAGTGATCACAGAGAAAGACACAGAGAGAGAGGTTTTCGCCTTGGCCTCTTTTGGCCTGGGACCGACACAGAGCCACGCAGCAATGGACCCCACCCCACGGGAACTAAAAAAGGAATGGATCGACGGACAATCGGGTCGCATGCTTGCGCAGGGTACAGTGGGGGTTGATCCATCGAAGTCTGCCCATTTGCTGTGAAGTTGTCTGCCAAGTTTATTCGTCTATCTATCCGTCTGTCCATCTGGTGGTCTCTGGTTGCGCTGGTGCCTCGCTCGCCGCCAAGATCACGACGGCGGGCGCCAACATAGAGGGAGCCTCCGAAGATGACGAGGCCAGCGCCGAAGTCCGTGGCAGTGGTCGCCCTGAAGTGATCGAAAACGTCCGCGCAGGGCTTTCGGTTTAAGGGTGGCATGGACGCCTGCACAGAAGGCATATGGGTCTGGCCGGCAACTCAATCTATGAGAGCTTAGAGTCTTAGTGCCCGGTGTAGTGTTTCGGAGCCTGTGCGTGTGACCGTGTGAGGTCCGAGCCTTTCTTGCGACAGCTGAACGGCCAGGAGGTTGCAGTCCTTCTGATGGACACGCAGGCACCTTGCGGTTCCCGGAGCATCCCTCTGAATGAGAGTAACACCACGTCAGGGCGCCTGGGACAGCAACATGACCAAGGACCCCGTTTCAGTCTGACAGCTCGTGACTGCGACGACTCTGCTTGTCTGCAGTGCCTGGTTTTGCGGGGATTCAGGAGTGGGTGCTGGGGATGATGGAATGAGAGTGAAGAAACCAAGGTGCCATGTCTCCGGTTCCTGTCAGGAGCAATCTGCCACAGTCTTTGGTTTGACCGCAGTGCTGTCGTCCAAGCAGCTCCTTGGTCGCCGGAAGATTTGCCAACAGCGCAGAGATCACTATGCCCCTCCAACCCCGACCCAACCCGCGTGAACACAGGAGGGGCATGAGTCACAGCGCCCCGGGCCTCGTTGAGTTCGTATAAAGTCAGACGAATCTCGCAGAAAGCTGCCAATGCAGGCTATTGAACCCCGTTAAAGTCATGCAGATCCGGACGCAAACCACCCATGTAGCCAGTGGATAGCCGCGTGAGTTTAGAGCATCTGCAATCGAGTCCTGAGATCTGGGGGACTAGCGCTGCTGGGAGGTACTCACGGGACTCCTATACGGACCCTTGTTCTTCTGCAAATCGAGAGGTTGTCCAGTTGCAAGAAGACTGGCCTCTGCAGAGCATCACGGGCACTGCTGCTGCTAAAGATGTTGGATCGTCAGCACCAGCTCTAATAGCACCTCAGCTGGAGAAACGTGCATCCGGTGATGCTGATGATGTTTGCCGCTTGCAACACAAAACAAGACTGTGCAGGAGCACGGAATCTTGAAAGATAACTGTCAGCATCGTCGAACATCGGCAATTCTTCTTCGTCAGGCCCGCTGCCCAACCCCCGATGCACATGGAACCTAAACGCGGGCCTGGTGTTGTTGCAGCTTAACGGCGGAGTCAGGTGGAAGAAGGCCAAGCAGAGTGAGGCAGCGAATCAACAGCGAGCAAGAACCATTCGTTCAGTCCAGAAGAGATCGCTGGGATCAAAGGGTGCGTTCGATGTGCTGAGGATCTACAACATCAACATGCAGATACAGGAGGACAAGGCACTGCTTCCGAATGTGTATCTTACCAGCTGTCGCATCATGCTTATTGAAGCGTAAATTTTAGGCCGTGCATCCTGTGTGCGAATGTTGGCTGGGAAGTGTGCGAGAGGTGGAGAACCTGGCCTACTTCATGCGCTTCGCGCAGGCGGAGCTCAATAAGGCCGCCAGTGAGATGGAGCGAGAAGGCCTCCGGGTGGGGGCAGGAACAACTGCTTTGCGAACTGCGAGGCAGCTGCGGAAAGCTTGCAGGATCCTGGAGGTTTACAGAACAAAACCACAAGCATCCCAAAGAAGCCAACCATGGTGCGGGTGTCATTGGACCCTGGGTAGCAAACCTGTTGTGCCACGGGTGCGCAACCAGATTGGTCCCTCCAAAGAATTCTGCACCTGCGTGCCCCGGCCTCCGAGGACACCAACATCATTGTAAATTCCCTTGGAGGCATTTGTGCGCCCGTGTGCCTTCGGGCGGAAATCGTTCTCAGTCGTCCCGCGCTCGTGTCGGCCGTCCAAATCGCTCGAAGCTGCTGAATCCTCGCAGCGCCACACTGTTGGCTTTTGGAAGCTCGCTCTCGAATCCGTCCGTTCTACGGTGTTCAGGAATTTGGCGCAATTCGAATTTTTGCTCTCGCAAGAACAAGGCCGAGCGTATTTGAGATGGTCTTCCCACCACAGTCCCATCCGTGCCTGCCTCCCGCGCTGGTTCTCCAACAATCGTGTACCCGCCACAGTCCAGATGCCTTTTTGCATGGTACTCGCGCTGCCTCCCAATTGTGCTCCCGTCACACTGTGTTGCGCATGTCTGAATCACAGGGTGGCTGTCACGGTTTGGGGTAAGGCGCCGGTACAATTTCGACACAATGATGCAAACCTTTGCTTTCAGGGTCGCTCATGGATCAGAGCGGAACCGCGGTGCCAATGAGAGCAACATGCCTTCAGCATTGGTGCAATCTGTCGAGCTGCGCGGGGTGGGGGTGGGGGCAAAGGCCCGGATTCCCCCCCCCCTAAGCACCAGCATCGTGAGCAAAGCGGGCCCGGGCTTGCCTCGAAAAGGGAAGTCGAGAATCGGATGCCGCCTTCCAGGCAAGCCTTTGAGCCGAGCCGGGAGCTCGGCTTTTGGAGACCAGAGCAGGAAAAAGCGGTGCGGAGCCTCCGAGACTCCGAGAGCCTGTGCCCCAACAGGAGGAGATCGACAGACCCTTTCAGTCCTTAGACTTCCTCGTCCGCGACTGGCGGCACTTCAGGCGCGGCCCGCTTGGTCTCCCGCAGAAGGCAAGGGCTAGGATTCCCTCGCTGCCTCTGCCAGGGATGACTGGACCGTGGAACAATGCATGGAGCAAATGCAGCAGCAAATGCCCCAGTGTCCCTTGCAGACCAGTTCGATCTCGGCTGCAAGTGCTTGGAGCAAGACAGCTACCGTAGAAGGTTTCTCATAGCATCCCATAGCCCCTACATACACCCCTCTCCGCGTACACACACACACACACGCACGGGCGCGCACACAAACTGAATAATTGACCAGTCCTTTTGTCCATCCACTTTCCCCAACAGCATACCTCTGCATCCCCCCACCCTCCAACATCACCAGATATTTTCTCACAAATTCCCCACAACTTGTTCGGATTGTCAAACCTCGTTGTCACATGTTCAACCAGCAAAGTTTGGTTTCCACCGGAACGCGAAGGAACGGGGGCTCCGAAGTAGGTGCCGAATGGAGACTGCAGTGCCCCGAAGACCTACCATTATGGATATTGCGTTTATTTGTATTACTAGGGGACCAGTATTGTTACAATTATTATTCCTATTACATGTACTTTCGCTGTGACACCTACTATACGAGTTGGAAATACTTGTAGGTGCAGAAGCATTAGGGTTTATAGAGTGGAGAGTGGAGTACCTCCCCGGGATGCGACCGATTACCAGTACCACTACTTCCAGTTTCATCGCACTGCACACGCCCGCGACTGTTTCCCAGATGAAGACGGGAACACGCACAGAAGTTCCGACGCAACTCCATGCGGTGAGAATGGTCGACAAGACCCCCGCCGCCGCCGACCCGTCGTTTTCCATAAAGAACTCGTGGGACCCATGTTCGAGACCCCCGGCCCGGGCAGCCCCCACCACTGAGGGCCCTCTTGGCAAGGTATGCTCTAACTCCCTTCGCAGTGTTTTTTATGCTGTGCAACAATGGAGCGAAAAGTTTCCGGTAATTTCTCGGGGAGCTGAGGCACCTTTCCCGCCATGTCAACCCGCAGAAGATGGTGGAGAACAGCACTGCCGAGGTGGGCATGTCTTGGGTTAAGTTGGGGCAGGCACACTGGAGGTTTCTTGTGACGGTGCCCCATGCTTCGGTATGCTTCGGTAAACAGTGGTTCGGGTGTTGAAGTCGATGGCTCTGGCTTTGCTCCACGCAGGTTTGCACACTCCGCGTTTGAACTTGAGGGCTGACTGGGGCGGGCTACTCCATGTACTTTCAGCATTTCGTGCTTCGTCGCCGTGAGGCGCTACATGCCATGTTCAAGCGCTTGCAATGCTTTTGCTTGTCCGGTCCCCAGCTTTGCATTGCAGTAGACAGTTCGAGCTTTCAGGCTTGAGGGACTCTCGTGTGAAGGCCCCACCCGGGACTCATCATCGAGAAGGACACGTGGACCGGCAAGGCAGCTCCGGACAGCTCTGAGACCTTTTCAACTTAGGCACCACTGCACCATTGGGGGCACCCTTGCGAGTGAGCCCGGAAAGGGGACCATCGCAACTCTTCGCGAGGGAAATCACACGAAATTTGTAAGAAAGAGGTTCCCTGGCCCACAAGACGCAGAAGCCACGAGCTGATCTTTTGATCCGCGGTGTACTTCTTGTGTAGAGGTCGCTGACATCAACAGAGACTTCATCCGGTTCATGGATCTCTACGTCCGTGACGTCTTCACCACAGGCATGCAGTGCTGCTCAGAAGAGCCACAACAGACTCTCTCACAGCGATCCCGAATCGAGTTCGTGCGAAGAAGCTGAAGCCAAGAAGCTGAGCGGAGTGCTGGCCAACACAAAATTAATTTGCAAGTATTAGCAAGTAATTGGCGGGAGCTGTGAAAGGGAGGCGAAATGGATCGAGCGGTCCTTTCTTTGCTCAACAGTCGCCTCACGCTTGCATCCGCCCTGGTTGTTCCAAGCAAGCAGGCCTGAGCACCAAGAATATCTTGGGCTCGGAGTTGAGCCTCTTGGCATGCAGACCGCATGTCACGTGCGAAACGACCATCCTGTGAACTAGAGACTGCTTGCATCTTGCATTCTCAGTTATATAAGCACAAAAGAGCCCTCTCGACTGCATCTGGGAATACCCGACGCCAAAGGTACAATGAGCTTTCCGCATGTGCTGCGAAACTTTGCAGGAGCCTCAGGCCAGTCGCCTTCCCGAGTCTCGCTGCAGAGGGTTGCCCTAAGCTTTGAGCTTTGTGGCCTGGAGGGATGCGAACCGCGGACCTAAGGTCGATGCATTTCACGACGCGGCTCCGGCTGCCATGTCATTTACGCAGGCCATGACCAACTGCACAGCTCCGGCCCTACCGGCTCTGCCATGCTCTGCCTGCAAAGCTGGCCCCAGCAGGCCCAGTGAGCTCAGGTGCTGTTGGCCAAGGAAGCAGCCATGAAGAGTTTCATCAAGAAGATGGACGAGGCCAGCGAGTTCTGGTGGATGTTTGCTGCCTCGGCCCGTAAGGTTTGAACGCCGTTCGTTGCACCTGGCGCCAGGAAGCATCAAGGAATCCCAGAGGCAGGGCCACAGACTGATACAGCATTTCGATGTCGTTTTGTGAACTGCGTTGGCTTCGGGCTTCTGGTTCGGCATGCCGGATCTCGGCAGCAGAGAAGACCAGATCCCCGACCTTCCGTGTTTCGTCATCAGGGCTCAGTAGCTTGCCAGAGCCACCGGTCCAGCTTCAAACCAACCAAAGATGCCCGGAAGCAAAGCTTCGCTTCGTTGTGGCTTACGTGTGCCTGGGATCCTCCGCTGGCTGTGCTCCCCGCACAGGATCAGGATGCTTCTTTGCTGGCCATATCATGTGCCACGGAACATGACATGTGTGCATGTTACCAAGTCGTCGGCCATTCAGGCATGAAGCCTGAAGAATTCACAAGCATTTCGAGAACTGTGACCCAGCAAGTGGAGGAGAGGCAGTATGTCAGCATTCGTCACTGAACCGGAACTTGCAACAACGACCGGAGAGAGTGACTGCGGGTGCACCATTGCAGGATGACTACAAGTCCATGACGATCTTCGGGTCAGACTCTCACTGCAATATCAACGCGAAGTGTTCATGAGCGAATGTCGTGTGAGAGCTGCCTTCCGTGCTGGACTGGTGTCTGATCATTCGGTTCATATCATCGAATCATCACAACCTCTGCCAACTATCAGAATTCGGGGCGCGAATCACCACTCAGTGCCAAGGCTCAATGGCCGAGGTGCAGCCCGCATCAATCTGTATCATGCACATTATTTGGTTTTCGTTTCCCTTCCCAGATGCCTTGTGGTCTCGTTTTCGACGAGGCGGCGACACCACCACTAGACTGTTGCCCGACTTAGGGCTTGAACCATATCGTCGTCTGAACATGTTGCCCATGTAAGTAAGCCTCTCAAAAAGAAGTGTTCGCAAGACTTGCTGGAGGCAAGGGGTGACGGATCTGGAGAGAGCCCGCTCTAGCAAGGTGGTAGGCCCGAAGAGTGGATTCATGTAGTTGTGCGCGTGGGTTGGTTCGCTGGGCAGAGGTTTCATAGAACCAAGGCGTGTTGTTGTTGTTGCTCGCTGGACTCAATGTTGTGGAGCATAAGTGCATACACCCATACTGACAGTTGAGCCTCGCTAAAGGAAACTTTTGGCAGAAGAGCGCAACCAGGGATACTCTCGAAAGCTGGAAGACTAAGGGGCAAAGGTCGGGAGGGAGGTGTTGAAAATAGAACATGTTTGGGCAGGCTTGGAGAGCAAGGGAACTGGAAGGATCACTCCTCTGTCGCAAGACAGTTGTAGGCATATATGGAATCGCAGCATGCAGCACCCAGGTCAGACGACACCAGGAAAGACACCTGGACCGAAATCTGCAAGAACTTGGACAACCTCCGACAGAGGTACGAGGAGGAGACGTGATGGGACGGGAGTTGTGGGGAGGTTCAGCGGTGCTCCGCAGGGCTAGCAGCTCGCAGCTAGAATCGATGCTGATCCAGTCAAGGCGCGAAGTTTGCGGCTACCTTGCTAGCCTGCAGAGCAGTCCTGGATTTGGAGCATGGCCATTTGCTTGTGGCTGAGCAGAAGCGTCACTTCCTGTCTTCGCACCCGATCCAGGACAACGCCAGACGACTAGAGAAGGCATCAGCTTCAGGGCTCCAGCTCGGACGTAGCGGTTGCCCCCCTCTGGGCTGATTTTTCAGCACTGACAATGCCCAGGCATTGGTCGCTTTTGCGAACATCTCCTTGATTGGCCTAGCACTCTTCCTGCTAGATCGAATAAGCCGCCTGCTTGCAGCAAAGGTTTTGTTGTCCTTGTTCTCAGGCTCATTTCTAGTCCCCACATTCCGGCTACCAGTAGCCTGGGGGACTTCCCATGTTGTCACATCGGTATGGCTACTGTGTTTTCCGTCGGAATGGCAGACGTGTATTTATGCAGTCCACCAGCCTGCTGGAACACAACAAAGCTGTTTTCTGTGCCCCTCCAAGTAGGTCGGCTGTTTGTGTGGAAGAGTTGGCCTGTCAACCTAACAGTTCCGACGACTTGGCTAAAGCCTTCACCCGTTTCCGATCCTTGCTCCCCTTTTCGGACTCAGGCGACTGGACATGTGATTGGTGGTCGCAGACATGCACGGACTTGAGCAAGGCTCTGGCAATTTGGGAACGCGAACGTCTAAAGCTGCACGAGTCGGTTTGCGAAAGTTGCACTGAGCTGGTGGTTCTACTGGAAGATCCTAGCTGTGACCTTGTTGCTGTCACGAGGTCTGAATTGACCGAGCCTTCTAAGCTTTAAGCAGAAACCGCCCCGTGCAGCTGATGCTTCTGGCCTACGTGCTCATCTTTGGTTACGCGTGTGCCTCGGAACTTTCCTGCTGACCCTTACCGACCGCTGCCACGTACTGTAGGGCTTTCTGAGGTGGGTGTGCAAGCGTACCTAGCTCTCCACGATCGGGGGCGAGTCGCCGGATGCCGAGCCCGAAAGCCCAAGTCTCCTCAGATCCTAAGTGCCAAAGCTGATGACAGGCCGCCGCAATGGCAGGAGGCGAGCTCTGGAAAGAAATGGTCCGCTTGATGGGCCTGCCAAGACCTCAGTGAAAAGAGCATGCAGGCTGCTCAAAAATTGAAAAGGTCTGCACACTCAGGTATGGAGAGCTCCTCCAAGAGATGGAGCTGAAAGAAGTGCCGGGCTGGTTGAAGGAGCAGGCGGAAGTCAGCGTTTTCTGCTTGGGCAACATGCAACGCTCGGTACAGCAGGCCCTTAACTTGTACAACCAAGCCCGACCCTCGGATGTTTGTCTTCTTCTCCATGCGCGGTGAAACACGTTTGCTGAGGCTACGGGAGGAGCCGCCAGCAGCGACTCCAAGAACAAGAAGGCTGGCCTTTGCACCGCAAGCTTTGTTTCCGGGCGTTTCCAGCTTTCATCCGCTAGCAGGACTGAGACGCACATTGGCCAATGCATTGCCAAAGAGCCGACGAGAGCTCCACGGTGGGTCCAAAGCAGTTGAAGGGCCGAAGAGTGGTTCAGCTACATGCAAGACTTAGACTCTAAGACTCTAAGACTAAGTCTCAGACTCAAAGCTGGACCAGACAAGCCTTCCCTTCCACGGAGGGCGTTCGGCCCAGCTCGGCTTCCCGCGAGCCCGTAGGGTTGCCTTCCGCCCTTCGACGGTGAAGCCACGTCGTTGGACTTTGCAGATGCACCGTACATGTAACTCCTGTGACATGTGCGTGAAAAAAGGTAAATGGCCGTGTCTTCAACTTGCACCAGCTTGCATTCCTCAAGACAGCGAGACCTTTCTTTTAAACTTCGCCCGATGCTATCAGGCCCTCGAGCAGTCCGAAAGCTGATTCTTGCACATGCATTCCGACTGCTCACGAAAGTGTATACAAGGATTGGAAGACAGCAGCGTCTCAGCCAGTGTTTGGGGGATTCAGACGTAGGCGTGTATGCGATAGTCCCCCAGCTCCGAAGCCATGTCTGAGTCTGAGACGAAGACATACGCATGGCAGTGGGTTTCCGACTTGACGTTTTTGTCATGCAGCTCCGCTTTGGCTGGTGCCTTTGGTGGCACCCCTAGCAGTTCGCTGGCACTGGCCAGCGTTTCGCTGGACCCAACTTTATCGCTCGTGATACTCGGTTCCGTGGCCACTTTCTCTGCTTTTTGGTTCAATGCTGCAGTTCCCGAACAAGGGGCTGCAGAAGAGCCGGCCAATCTTGCGGACACGGGCGACCTGGCTGTCCAGCAGGGCGCGTGCATGGGCCAGGAGTGCTGCGACGCCGTAGGTGGCACTGGGAATGCCATCAACCATCCGGACACCATCGGACCGGACCGCCATGTTGCAGGATCTCTTGTGAATAATACACGCCCCAGTCTCACAGGGCAAAGTCTTAATGCTCAGAGCTTCAGAGCAATCAGCCGGCTTGGAACTGGCAGCTGTGGTATCGTTTCGCTCATGCAGCACCAAACCGGCCCGACTTACGCAGTCAAGCGCGTCGATCTGAGCCAATTGAAGCCGAAGAAGAAGGCCAAAATCATGCGAGAAAAAGACATACATCTAGAATTGCAGTCACCGTTCCTCATCCGCTTGTTTGGCACATACCTGCAGGAAGAGGCCATGCATTTCGTGATGGAACCTGGCGTTTGTGATTTGTGGATGGTTTATCGGCTGCACAAGGAATTTTTTCGCAGCCAGAAACATGCAAGTTTCTATTCAGCGAGCGTGATCTGTGCACTCCAGTATCTGCACGAGAAGGGCATAGTCTACAGAGACTTAAAGCCGGAGAATTTAGTGCTTGACGAACATGGGTTCCTGAAAGTGTGCGACCTGGGCTTTGCCAAGCATGTTAAGGTCGAGGAGAAGACATACACCTTCTGCGGTTCTTTGGAATATTTGGCACCGGAAATCATCACCAAAAGCGGACACAGTCATGCGGTTGACTGGTGGGCGCTCGGTGTGTTGATCTTCGAGCTTATGGCTGGACTTCCTTGTTTTGGCACGGAGGAGCCCGAAGCTGTGATTTACGACAGAGTGCTGAAGGGTGTTCAGCCGGAACTTTTTCCACCCGTAATGCCACCCACATGTCGGGATCTCATTCTGACATTATGCACTCAAAACCCAGCACTGCGCTTGCCGATGCGTCCTGGTGGTTTGGATATGTTGAAATCTCATGCCTGGTTCGAAGGCTTTAAATGGGATTTCAAGATGGAGCCACCTTACAACCCAACCCACGATTTGCAGCGACGACGATGTGGTTAACTCCCTGCTCGACAAAGCCATTCACGATCTACCTGTGAGCTTTTGGCAGCCCTCTCTGTAAGACATCTTCTGTGGCTGGCAGTTGGGACCTGAGCGCGTTCAAACAAGCACCGCAGAAGGCAATGCGCAGCCAAAACGCAGAGCTCGGCCCACATGATGAACATAGTGGCTGTTATTGTCATCATTACTATCAGTATGCTTAGTCTTATTCTTTATAACCGCTGCGATTATTACTCTATTGTTGTTGTTATTATTAGCAGTAGTTGCTGCTGTAGCAGAAGTAGTAGTAGTAGTAGTAGTAGTAGTAGTAGTAGTAGTAGTAGTAGTAGTAGTAGTAGTAGTAGTAACTGTTTCTATTGTTGTTGCTTATGCATTTTGGTGATATAGGGAGGTCTTTAGATGAACGAAGGTGGTTTTATTCAAGCGAACACTAGGGGGAGTATGAAAGTGATTGAACGGATTTACATATGAAAGGGTTATGAAGGTCTTATGTTGGGTCTTATGGGGAGTGTTGCAAGGATGGCGCTGGCTGTTTATGCTCTTGTGCTGGCCTTTCTGGACAACATGACTCCGATAAAAAGAGCAGCTGATGCTGGTAATACACTAGTACTATTATAGTATTATTATAGTATTATAGTGGCCGGCCGTGCTGGGCTGGCTGAGTGGAAAGTCCAGAGCCGATGAAACGAATTCTAGGCTTTCTGGGCCAGCTGGGTGTACAGCCTACTGTGTAGCCTAAATAGCAGAAAAATCTAGATTGCAGCTGCGAACGGACTGCGATGCCTTGTCAAGTTCTAAGGTGTCACTATAAGAGCTGTGAGCAAGACCGTGTAAAGTGCAAGAGAAGGGGGCACGCTACGCGTCCCTCGACTCTAGGGGGCATGCTACGCATCCCTCATCTTTACCTTTCTATGTGACCGCCAACGCAACGTTTGGCTCAAGTCAATGCCCATAGCTAAGTGCTATATGTGTCTTCTATCCTGAGCAATCAGAGCTATCCCGTTGCACAGACGAACCGCCGCCGGCAGTGAGTGCAAAAGGAACGGCCGCCGGTTCTGCCTGCATAGGATCGCACGTGTGGAAGTAAGAGGGAGAGACAGGGTCCAGTCTGTGGAGAGTGCTAGCCAGCCACACCTACATTCATTACAGCTCTGGTGGGGAGAGCAGCAACCAAGTCGAGATCAATCCCCCACGCAGGTTATCAGCCGTACGCGGCTCTGCCTTTCTACAGCAACGACTACTTGATCTACTACGACCACAATGAACTCAGGATCAAGCCAAGATACGACAATGACTTTCGGTGCCGATGTGGCAGCGCCAGCCGTTGGTGAGTCAACAGCTGATGATACAGTGGTGCAATCCGTTGATAGCTCCACGGAAGATGACAAAGGTCAATCTTCTGCGCTTGCCATTGCAAAGGCAGTTCCCAAGGGGAAAGCAAAGAGTCTACCAAGAGCATCTACGCCTTCACGTCCGACATCCACAGGTTCGAGGACGGGCAAGGCTCCAGAACGACGGGCCGAAGCGTCTGGTTTTCAGGCACCTCGGACTACGTCCAGGGCTAAGGACAAAGGAGTCAAGACCTTGGAGAAGAAGTCAAGACCATCATCTTCGAGAAGCTCTTCAGCACGATCGAGGACTTCGGCTACCCGTGGGCGTGACAAGTCCATGACTTGGAATCGGATGGTTACTAATCAACCACGCGACTCTGACGATCTGGACATGACACTGGATACGATTCCTGCACGTGGTGATGCATCATCCGTGGCCACGCCTGCAATAGCTGATGGTCCGAATGCCTACCAGGAACTGACGATTTCGCAACAGTTCGAAGCATCGAACCTTGCACAACAGATGTACTATCGCAGTCAGGTGCAAGAGTACGAAGGAATCGTGCAGACCCTGATGGACAAGATCAAGGAGATGCAGCAAGAAGATGAAGGATCTGGAATTCGCATTGAGGAATTGGAACGACAACGTGATCATGCTTGTTTAGCCATGAGGCACATCAACAATGTCAATCAGGAGATGAAGCGAGACTATGAAACAGCTTTGTTTCGCATGGATGAGCAGAACTCTGCTCAACAACGTCAAGCACATGCCGTTGCCGAGGATTTAGCTCAACAGCTACACGTGTTCCGCACGGAGGCAGCCACCAACTTTGTGCAGTTGGAGGCAAGAGCGCAAGGTGATGGTGAGCTTATGGCACGTGAGTATGAGCGTCTGACTCATGAACTTCATGAACACGCCAGAGAGAACTTGGTCCTCCGGTCAAACACAGCAAGTTCGGAACAAGCCTTACAAGCAATGCAGGAACGATTCCACTTGGTCAAGAACCAGGAGTTGCGGGCTGTGAACGAGATCCAAGGGCTAGCTGGAAACAGCGCAGCCATTGAACAAGAACGATTTCGGCTTCGTGAACGTCTTGGTGAAGAGGAAGAGTACCGCAGAATGGCTGTGAAGAGGATGCAAGAAGCAGAGGAACGACTTCATCAGAATGAAGATCATGCAAGGCGATCATTGCCTACCTTGCACGACGAGCTGAGTGAACTCAGGAAAACGCTCAAAGCACAAGAAGATCTTCAAGCGAGGACACGCAGCGAATTGGAGGCAGCGCGAAACTCCAATCAAGGAGGAGCGACGCGACCTTCGAGCATGCCCATGTCTTCGAGGACTACTGAGTCTGGCTGGGAGCACGTAGGAAAGGAAGTAATGCCTGCATTTTCCGTAGGAGATGAGGTACGATCCCCTGAAATACGGTCCCCAAGTCAAGTTAGTCCAGTCGCCAAAGAGAAGTTCGCATTCTCGGAATCGGACAAGGACAAGAACCTTGTGATGGACGGAATTCCATTCACCGGTGGAAACTTCTTCACTGGCCGCAGTTCAATGCCAATCGTGGCGGATGCAATGCCCGAGCACCACGTGCCAGGTATTAGCAGTCCAGCGCTTGCGCGTTCCACGCCTAGTGCAGCCACGTTGTTTGGCATACCAAGCGGATTTCATGGGAAAAGTGATGCGGCAGCCGTGCGTGATCGACAGCTACGCGAACTCTTGGGGGATCGCGGGATGTTGGGATCGAAGTCCACAGCATCGGCCAGCTCCTCAAGACCTGTTGGCATCGACGGTGTCACCGCATCCACTAAGGGTAACGACCACACTGGTCCTCCTGTCGCCTTTGACGATTCCATCCATGAGGCAAGGAGGCGTCAGATCGAGAAAGAGATCGCGGAACAGTACGAGGAGAAGATTGCTGATCTGCGAAGTGAAGTACTCAAGGCTCAGAAAGCCGAACAACGTCTCAGAGCTGATCGTGATGAGTGGAGATTATTCGCTGAAACGATTCAAGAAAACAATGGAGACGATGACGGTGATGAAGCTGGCGACGAGAACGGAGAGGAAGAGCATGATGAAGGTACCGGCACGGGGTATGATCCTCCAGATCCGCCTGACGACGATGATGACAAGAAGAAAGGTGGAGGGGGCAAACCCGAATCGGATCCTGGTTCGCATGCGCGTGATCCTGATGGAGATGCGGATCCTGAAGTTACAGAGGTGAGAATTTCCAGGAGGGAAGCCGACAAAGTGACTGTTCCTCCATGGCCTACTCTCACTCATCTCAACAACTGGCGATCTGTGTGCACGGCAAATGTCTTAGGGGCATCAGCCGACCCACATCATGAGGACTGGATGTTATGGCTGGCACCAGCGTTCAACCCATTCCCTGATGTCGAAGCATTGAATGATTCAGGACACAAGAAGTTCAAGAGCATCGACGTCAAGTTGGGGATCGCCATGGTAGCAATGCTACGTGCCGGTGGTGACAAATCAGCTGACCTGTACCTCGAGGTGAACCGGAAGGCCAACGATTACATCAGCAGGCCTGACGTGAAGATCATCAAAGGACGACAAGTCATTGCGATGATGTACGAAAGTTTTCGAACGCATGATCGTCTTGACATGATCATCACTCTTGAGTATTTGGTGAAGCTCCAGTACCAAGGCGACAACAAGCTCCATACGTTCAAGCAGACGTGGTTGGAAGTTCTGGGACGGATGAGACCAGAGGACATTCCATCCAAAACAGCTCTCCGTGATTGCTTGTACAGCAAGATCAAGGACTCGCCCGCAATGAAAATGGACTTGGGCATGCACTATGAACACTTGCCCTACAATCATGAAGACCGATCGTACGACAACCTGATGAAGATCATTGATCGTACCATCATGCGGAGACGAGAACAGTCAAATCTCACTCAGACTCAAATTGGCTTGCGCCAGATGCTTGAGGGCAAGGATTTGCTTGCTGCACCGGCCAAGGTACCCGAGAAACCTACGCCTAACGCAGCTCCATCCGCAAAGGTCAAGGCTTCGCCGACCAAGCCGGACAAAGCAACACCTGTACTACCTCAAAGCAAAGCGAAGAGTCATGCGAAGACCAAGCCGAAGCCCAAGAAGAAGACGAGGAGTGAGTCAGCGGACAACAGAGGTGACAAAAGCAAGAAGCAAATCCGCTGTAAGTTCCATTTCACAGATGCAGGGTGTCGAAATGGCGATAAGTGTCCATTCAGTCACTCGAAGAAGACTCCAGAACGACCCTTCACGCCGAGGACGAGAACTCCAAGTCCATCTGGAGGAGGAGGAAACAGGATTTGCTACTCGTTCAAGAACACAGGCTCGTGCTCAAGAGAGAATTGTCCTTTCAAGCATGAGGCAGCAGCTACCCCAGCTCCGGAACCAAAGGCAAAAGCTAAAGCCAAATCCGAAGCGAAGGCAGCTCCAGCGAAGCCGAATGCCAAGGCCAAGGCACTTCCTGCAGCACCCGCCATCAGATTGTGTCGAAGGTGGAATCCATCAGCTCCGGCTATATGGAAGCGATCTTCAAAACAAGATGAGGAGGAGTCAGATTGTCCATCCGTTGACAGCGACGCTGATTCGGATTGTTCAACAGATGACGAATCCTCGGGAACGACTACGTCGACCCGAAAAGTGACAAAGCGCAA